ACACAGACAAGAATACATTATACTACCCAGGAATTAAGAATGTGATAAGAACACAGAAAAAAATACATTATGCTACCCAGGAATTAAGAATATGATAGGAACACAGACAAGAATACATTATACTACCCAGGAATTAAGAATGTGATAAGAACACAGAAAAGAATACATTATGCTACCCAGGAATTAAGAATATGATAGGAACACAGACAAGAATACATTATACTACCCAGGAATTAAGAATGTGATAGGAACACAGACAAGAATACATTATACTACCCAGGAATTACAAAGTTCTATCTGCTCAGTACCTAGTTTTGAGAAATTTGATGTTAAAACTTTGAAGTTTCAAATCATGTCACACTTTTACGAATACAATTCTTTGAATATCTTGATAACAACTAATAATCTAACAATTTTGATAGTGCAGAAAGAACATTTGGTTTCTGACCTCGTGGTTTTAGAGGCTCAAAACTTCCCGAAATGTCGAACAGAACTTTGTAACTCTGAGGTAGCAACTACTGAATTCCTCCTCTCGGACTATTTTCACGCCACAGTTTATCCACAAACGGCTAAAAAGCAACGTAACATTGAGACCGTTTTCACATTGAAACAGCAAAGAGATAATCAAGTTAACCATTCACTCAGATGGATGTTTAATGACTGACACTTAGTGAGCGCGAGTGGGCGACAGCCTTAAACAATAGTGAACTCATGTTTAAGACAAACACAAGACAGATCATATGTTACAAGGCGAGATTGCTCCTAAAATACTGGCGCTATTTTATTTTATAATCTTGTTTACTCCGATTAAGATAGTGCATAAAGAAGGAAACTAGAGTAATAATAGTAATAAATACAATTTTCACGGCGCATTCCCCACTCAACAGCAACTCTTTGTTCTCGGGGAGTGGGTGGTGAAGGGTGTAAATCTGACCTTGGAATTTTGCAGGGAAAGGTTTGTCGTTTCTGCCGTCGACCAGGGACAGGAGAGGTTTGAGCAACATCTTGATGTCGGCGGCCTTGTGGTAGAAGCCATACTTGACCAGGAAGTGCACCAGTCTCAGCACCTGCCCACACACAGGGGTAAAAGTTCAAGTGTAGGTGGATACAGCCACATCAACACAGTAAGTCATTTAGTCAAAATATCTTTTTCAATATCATTCACAAATCCTGCCTTAAAAGATGATAATTTTTCTGAAGAATCAGCTAATTCGAGAAGAGTAATACTAAAAAAACCCCAAAGAATACATATCTCCCAATATGAAATCCCACTTCATTACTCGTACCCTCAAAAATGTATTACATACGTTTAAAAACTCATCATCTGGTAGGCAGCTACGTAAATATTTTAAAAAATGAAAACGGATTTTCATACTCAGACAGTCAAAAATGTATTACCTAAGCCTTGTACCGTCTGTTGGGCAGCTATGTACATATTTTCCAAAATGAAAACGGACTTCTATACTCACACCCTCAAAAATATATTAAATACTTTAATGATGTACCGGTTGGCAGCTATGCACAACTCTGAGAATACCACCTACCTGTTGCACAAACATGTTATTTCCAATCTCAAAAATGAAATACGTAAGTTTTGTATCGTCTGGTGGGCAGCAATATACACATCTTCCAATATGAAAATGGACATCCGTACTCAGACCCTCAAAAACATAATAACACTTTGCAGTCACACAGCCAGCAGTACAAAATACCCCATCAGGCTACTACATACTAAATAGAGCAGAGCAGGTCACAATCTTTAGACTCCGTTGTGGCCACAACAGACTCTAACACCACATGCACACCCAATTAAAAGTTTCAGAAACAGCGATCTATGAATGTTCTATAAGACCAAGAGGATGCCAACCATATCCTTCAGCACTGCCCGCGCTACGCCACCCTTCACGCACAGACGTGGCAGAATGTGACTCCCCTTGAGAGAAAGCTCTATGGCAGTCTTTCAGAGTTGAAGCGAACTACACAGTTTGTACGCAACATCGGACTGACTGTCAAGCTGCTGTCATCGAGAATGAGGAAGAAGAAGAAAAACCCCATCAGGCCACCCAGCCAGGAGAGCGACTGCAACAGACTTCTTGGGTCTGGCGCAGAACTGGGCCAGGTGACCAGAACAGACAATTTTCTCCGGCACATTATTGCGCCAAGTGACCGCCAAGTGACCGCCAAGTGTTAAATACATTATTTACATATTGGTTGGCAGCTAAGCACGACCCTGAGAATGCCACCCACCTGTTGCACCAGCATGTTGTTCCCAATCTCCGAGGCCGTCATGTCTCCGTTGGTAGCCAGGAACTGTGAGATCCAGCTGCTGAGCTGTGGGAAGTACTTGTAGGTGGGGGAGCTGCTCTTGTCTAGCAGGTCCTGTGGGGTGGGTGGGGGAGG